GTTTAGGACCAAAGTTTAGTTTAGTTTTAGGGTAAATGGTCAGGGTTAGGATATAAAATGAATGGAAGTTAATGGAAAGTCCCCACAAGGATAGAGAGAAATAGTAAAGTGTGTGTACTATGAACTAGATATCAAAAAGAAAAAATAAGTAGGTCCTCTGGACAGGTTCTTCTTATGAACTATAATATACTGTATATCTCAAAAGACACTTAACAGAATTCATTGAAACTCTCAGAAAGTACTCAATGGATGTACATCTAGAAATTAAATCAAGATGGCCGTCACAGCTAAGTGACCTTATCAGTCAGTCAGTTTTACAGACACTGAGATAAAGTTTGATGAGATAGTAGCTAAAGTCATCCTCAACACATAAACTAACTGCCCATGTCATTTACAAAGTTTGAACCGAACTGTTTTAACTCAGTCATTTCTCATAATAAGATAATCTTTAGTTTAACATTTTGAGTAAGGCGATAGGTTTATGTATCCTTTTTTAGGAAATATAAGCCTTTAATTKAAACAAAGCAGTTCAGATTCAGACAGTCCTTATTAACTAAATTTAGCTGTAGGTAAAAAAAAGGTGGGGGGGRAATTAACAAGCTCCTCCAATTAGGCGACTAAAACCAATTAAAGCAAGCATAATTAGTATTCCATTAAAAAAAAGGTGAGTGTGGGATTGGGAAAGCTGCCTGTCATCATCCTCAGTGAAAATCATGGTGAGCATGTCGACGTTTGTTTTTACACAACACATCTCTGATGACCCAAAAGGTAGAGCTTCAGGCCCACATCCAGGTTCAGAACTAGTGATAAATTAACTTGTGAAATGTCAAAAACCAAATGACTCAACCAAAGTCACTGCTTGATTTTCTAATTAATTATAAATTAAAAAACATATTAAACTTTCTTATGTTGAAAATCTATATCTAAAATCCAACAGAAATGTTTTTAAAGCATTGGTGAAACATTAACTCTCACTAAAGGCCCTGTCACACTATAAAGTTTTAGACAACTTATGTCAAGTTATAAAAAATTTTAAACCACAGTCTCTTTAAGCAATGTACACAGTAATGCTAACAAACTGATCAAATATATAATTTATTAACAATTTAGACATAAAAATATCATAAGTTAAGATAAGTCATCTCAAATGTTATAGTGTGACAGGACCTTTAAGAACATTTTGTCAAAACATACCAGACTAGAGTTAAATATATGTTTACTCTGTTATCAACAACATAATCCTTATGAGGCTACAAAAAGGCAGACCTAAATATTATTTGAATTAAGTAAACTGTTCTGAAGTTGCAGCTGTTTGTTTGTAAAAATGATCACCGTCAGCCCAAACCAGACACTGTCAACAGCAGATAAATATTAAGTGAATATGCCAGCAGCTATATGTTGGTACAGAGAAGCAAAACACAATAAAAAAACAGCAATACCTCAGAAAACAATGCTTCATTCAAAGTAAGAAAACAAACAGAAAATGCTCTTGAAACCAGACTAACTTTTAGAAAATATGTCAAAAATAGAAACTAATAAAATAAATTTAAATAAATATATATTACCTTGAACCAGAGGKCCATCAGTTCTTCTTCTTCTTCTGCATATGGTTTATTGGCAGTTGGCAAACAACGTGTGGTGTGCATTACTGCCACCTATGGAGTGTGGGTCAGAATGCTCTTCCATGTGTCTATTTACTTGGAATATTTTGTTATGTATTCTATTTACTGTCCTTTCTTTGTAATTGTATTTACATTTGTTACGTTCTTAATGAAATTAGTTAAATTCTAATGACTGTTCTCCCATTTCTACTGTAAGTGCTGCTGTTGGTGTGGTTCTGATCGCTCCGGTACAGGTTCTGTTTGGTGTTTTATATTGTCCAGGTTTTCCAGATAAGTTTTTACTGCTGATGCATTTATTATACTGCTAAAATGTATATTTGATCTTATCATACCTGTGTATATTTTCTTTAATGCTGTTCCCCATTCATTCATTTCCTGCCAAGATTTTCCTACATTTAATAAGAATTTTCTGAATGTGAATATTCCACATTACTTTTCCTTCAAACTATATTCCTAAAAATGTTACGCTCTTTACTTTATTTCTTGCTCATACATTTTCAGCTGTTTCAGTTCTGTAATTCTTTTTTGAGTAAATATCATTGCTTTTGTTTCTMCCACTGAGAATTTAAGCCCCCAGTTTTTATGCCCTTATTTATAGCTTTTTGTATTTTCTTTATAAAGAATTCTACATTTCTACCTCTTTTCCAGATTGCTCCATCATCTGCAAAGATTGAACGACACATTCCCTCCTCTATTTCATTTAAAACATCATTTATTATCACAGAAAATAATAAAGGGCCAATTATGCTTCCTTGTGGCATTCCATTTTTGACACATTTTCCAAAATACGCTTTTGTATATAACTTCATGACAAAAAGTTTTAGATCCACTTAAACATTTTTTCCTGTAATGCATAGTTTCTTTATTTAAATTAAAAATCCTTCAACCCTCATCATGTCATACGCTTTCTCAATATCAAAGAATACTATCTGTGCTTTTATTTCATTTTCCAGACATAAAGCTGCATCATTTGTATTTTTCCTTTTCTGAATCCACTTTGATACTTAGATATACATTGTTTATTATTTAAGTAATATGTCATTGATCATCTTTTGCATTATCACACATTTGGTTTTACTGCAATTGGCCTGTAATTTTCTGGTTTAATGTCATCTTTTCCTGGTTTTGCTTTAATTACTGACTTTTTCCAGCTCTGGTAGCTCTCCTTCMTYCCARATTTTATTGTACAACTCTAAAATGAGTTCTTTTGATTTTTCACTGAGATGACCATTATACACCAGATTTGATCTTTTGCGGTGCTGTTTTCTTGTTCTGAGTGCTCTGTTTAATTCATCCATTTTAAATGGTATATTCTGTAAATTATAATTTTCTTTAATGTTTTGTTGTAAATATTCATATTTTAGTTTTGTGGCTTCCCTCCCTTTCTTACCCTCCTCACTAATGGCTATGTACCTTACTAAATGTTTCCCCTATATCTCAGCTTTATCTTGAATTATTGATCCTTTATCTGTATTTAATATTGGATATCTGCATTCTTTTCTTTTTCCATTCATTTTTTAAAATAATTTTCCAGATTTTGTTCTATTTTTGTCTCTTTTCCTGTTGTATTACAGATATTTCTCCGGTATACTTTCTTTACCTCCTTAATTGTCCTCCTTACTTTTGCTCCTTGATCGGTCCCACTGCCCTGCATGTTTTAGAATGTGTCTGTTTATCACACCTGGTTCAAATTAACGGCTCGTTAACAGGTTTCTGCAGAACATAYTGAGGTTAAGACTCAGTCATTTGAATCAGGTGTGTTGGAAAATGAAAACATCTAAAACATACAGAACAAGGATCCTAAAAACCAGGTTTGGGGAATTTTTACCAACGCTCAAGTTGTATTTGTATTTAGAATAATCAATCAAGTACATGGATTTATGCAGTCAACACATATCAAGATGGCTGCCACACCTAATTGACCTTAGTCTACACAAAAAGGGCTTTATCTCTGTGAGTTTTTATATGATGGCWGCTGACAGTCATTCTCAACAGAACACAGGCTAAGTGCCAACAAATCATGCAAAATCACGAGATATCAGATGAAATATGATATAAACACATTTTCAAGGTTTGACCAAATCAGCTGTTATTTCTCATCACAAGATGACTTTAGCTTAGATAAAAAAAATTGTAAACTAAGCAATTTAAACTTTTTTATTTTCACTATAAACTCATTCTAAGTCTTATGTTTACATTTTTCTTTTTATTACACAGGCAAAAATTAAGAGCAAGAAACACATTTTGATATGGCTGTAACGATGAGACGAGGTTTATCTGCTGTTATATTGAACCAATGCTGCCCYCTAGTGTTCACTGAGAGGGTTACTTCACACAGGATCAGATCTGTCCAGTATTAGGATTCAGTGTTGCACATCTTACACAGTAAGTTTCTTTAAATTTGACCCATATATATATAATTTTCTGCAGATTTTTCATCAATAACACCTCATTCCATCACAAATCCTCACTTTTAAAACTCTGAACTAAGGAGTTTAATATTTTACATTGTTGATCTTTGAGGCAATTCTGCACTTTGTCTTATTTTTAAAAGCTGTTTTGGAAAATCTGGTGCAATCTCTAAAAAATGTATACATCTACTTTATTTATTTTTGTAATTATTGTGATGGTGATGTGTACATTCTGCGGCTATAGCGGGGGCATTTGAAATCCAGTGAAGTTTATCTAGACTGTTACAAACAAGCAAATTAAAAACTAAGTCGTTAATGAAATTGAAATCAGTTTAATATTAATTTTCAGCCTTGTCACTTGTTTATATTTTATGATATTATACCAACAGATAACCTATAATTTTTAGTAGGGGAACATGTTTACATTTGGCGATAACATTAGTGTCATAATTGTTTCAAAATTAGAGTTCATGCTACTCGATGCTGTTACACTCGCTGTCCTGCAGGTGGCAGTGTTGCTTCATTTACTCCCCAAACCCTCAGGAGACAAACCACCAGGTCATTTCAGACACAAAATGTTTTATTTGTATCGACACTTTGTTTAAACTGATAAAACATTATTCAACCACTTGTTTGTTAGCCCACTCCAAATACCATGAACAGGAAGCCATTGTCATTACGATACAGTCCATCACAGCAGAGGATCCAGCACTGCCAAATATTCAAACAAAACGTTCACAAAATACAGATGCCAGCCAGCAAAATGTCAAAACCACATCTGTTAGGCAAGAATCCGATCAACAACTCCACAATCATAATTAAAACCAGTCAGCTCCAGGAATATGTCAAATTTACTCCATACAAAACGCCCACTGAGTTATCATGGCAGCAAAAACAATGCTGCAAAAATATCAAATATCAAAGAAAATTTAGAGAAAACCTTTAGTTGTTGTGCACTGATATAAGAACATGGCTTTTTAGTGTCATAAGACAATGATATATTAGTTTAARAAACCAAAAAGGCAATGGAAATATTGTGCAGTAGAACAGGCCCATGTGCCTGATAGTCACCAACCTGAGACTCCTCCTCATACAAAACAGAGTTTTAGGTTTTTCTCATGCTATGAATGTTTAACAGTTTGGGTCACAGACGTCATGTTTTAGTTTGAAATATAATCCCTTTGGAAAATGTGCTAAATGTATGACCTGTTGACTCATTACTGTTTAATCTAAGCAAAATRTCATGTTAGGAATGTAAAAAATATGTCATCTATTTTAATGTGCTTATTGTCTAAATTAGGTTTTTAACTGGGATTTGAACACACAGCCAAGATAGTCCAGTTTTATAGATGATCCATCTTTTGTCCCCTCTCAYTCATTTGCATAAAGCCTGTGTTGCATCATTCATAATGCTCACCATAACTTCTTATTTTAAATCATTTTCATCTTTGTTACCAACGTAACAAAAACATCCAGTTCATATATTCTGAATAGTTTCTATTCTAAATACAAAAAGTGCACCGAACAAACGCTAACCTAAAAAAAATGGATCACTTTCATCATGTCATTTTCTACAGACGCATACAAATACTGTCGTATTGTTAAAAAAAGTTGTCTTTTAAGGCTTCAGTCTGTAGATGCATTAAATAGCCGTGCAAATACACACATTCCACTGAAAGCAGGCAATGACACACCGAGAAAGAAAGCTGACATTGAAGAATGTATAAGGTCTTCTACTTATTGCAGTTTTACTAAATCACAATTATGGTATTCTGAATCACACACACACACACAGTCTCACACACACTATGTGACCTTTTCAGGCTTTTCAGACAAAATAAGCACAAAAGGGAAAAGGACACCCTTTGCCTCTAGAGGTGCCTTCAAGGGTTCCTCCACAAAGTAGGCGCTCTCCTCCTCCACCACGAACTGAAGAGTCTGGCTTTTGTTCACGCAGTAGATGCAGTTCCCCATAATGGCACACCTGAAGGGTAAATGACTTCCTAGCCTCTGGGAAGCGCAGTCGTGCCACATTTTCACTATGGTGTTGTACTTGAAGACGTTGATGCCCTGCTCCCGGTTCACGTCGAAGCGGTAGATGAAGCTCTTCAGCGCCACCATGTCGGAGGACTTCTTCCTGCTGTTGTTGTAGGGACACTCCTGCCACTCGTCCCTCTTGGGGTCGTACTTGAGGAGGCGGAAGAAAAGGGAGCCGCCTGAAACGTAGAGCTCTCCGCTGCAGGTGGTGGCTTCGTGGGCCACTGCAAAGGCTCCCTTAGGTAAAGGAGCCACCGTTGTCCAGCGGTCCATTCGAGGGTCGTATTTCTCTACCGTGAACAGACATTCGCCCCCGATGGCGTACAGGTAGCCGTCCATAGATACGAGCTTCAGCTGGGCTCGGGCCTGGTTCATCGGTCTGATCTCAGCCCAACGGTTGGTTATGGGGTTGTAACAGAAGACCTTCTCTGAGACTTTGCCCTTGTCCCCGTAGCCCTTTATCCCTCCTGCCACAAACAGGTAGTTAAACATGGTGCAGATCCCGCATCCTTTGGTGTCTTCAGGCATCACAGTCAGAGGTCGCCAGTCGTTTTCTGCTTCACTGAAGAGGTAAATCATATTGTTCTCCTCCAAAGACCCACCGGACAAGGGACTCTGAGGTCGGCTGCCACAACGACTCGGTGGCCGACTTCCGACTCGATCGAACACGTCGTTTACCTCGGCCACCATCAGAGTCTTCCTCCCGTCCATCCTCTTCTTCAAGATCAGATCTCTTTCGGACCCAGTCAGGCGTCCGTAGACAGAAGGGTCTTTGAGGATCTGGAGGAAGTTGTCGCTCAGGAACCCGTACGCCGTCTCCTTCAGCTCGCTGAGTCGCTGCTTCTTGGCGATGGTCAGAATCTCGTAGCAGTTCTCGGCAGTGATCTGCTCAGACATGGAGTCCATGGCTGCCTGGACGGCACAGGGGATCTGCAGGATTTTAGCCCCCGTGATGACGTCAACCACATTTTCCTTGCCAACAGTGAGCTGTGAGGTGTAAATATAGTCTATCAGTGTCGACAGAGTTTTGTAACTCACGCCCTTAACTTTCAGGACATTGCGGGACAGCCTTGCTTTAAAGTAATCGCTCTTTTCCGCCAAGACGGACTTGTGAGCGTTGATGGTCTGTCCACCAACCTCGATGACTAAATCAGGTTCTGGTTTTGGCTGTGCATTCTCAGCTCTGAGCTCTGGTTTTAAACCGGACCTATCCACCTCCTGTTTGCCTTCACCGCCAGTGGGAGAATCTGCGCTGAACGACATGGCCTCTCTGGCTCCGTTGTGGATTTCACCCCTCGTACAGTTTTGTTGCACCCCAGCAATGTGATTGTAGACGGCAGAGTCAGAAAGCGGGGGGTCATCGGAACTCCCGGCGTTACTAGACAGGTAAAGCCGATCAGCCGTTGAGACGTAGGAGCCGTCGCCTTTTGGATGACCGAAGCAGTTATTCTCCATCGGTCTCCCATCGAGCAGGTATTCCTTCTCGAACACGGGAGGGGGGCTGAAATCTGGATCGTCGCGCAGGAATCCTTGGACGAAATCTGTACATAGGTTCCTGTTCTTGTCAGAGAGTGTGACCAGGTCAGGGTTCACTGTGTGGAGGATGGCTTCAGCCTCCACCGCCCCTCCTCCCTGCCTGCATCCCTCATTCATTTCACTCTGCTCAGTGGCTACAGGAGGCAGGGTCCTCCATGGCTATGATGAGTGAACAAACTGCGTTCTTCTCTGCACCTACATGGGGGGGGGGGGGCAAGCAAAGGATTTAATTAAAGACAGAAAAATTGCTAAAATCTTCGTGTTGCAAAGACATCTTAATTCTCTAAGAGGCGCCCTTTCTCTAAAAATCATAAAAACCTTGAAACCCAAGGATTTTATTTTTCCAACCATGAGTAATACTCTCCTGCAGTAAATAATATAGCCAGGTTTCAGGCTGCCACATAAAGAAAGAGCAGAGGCAAGCTTACTGCAATAATCACTCTGCCTGTGCTTTGGATGTGGTAATCTGGAGACATTTAGAGCGCATGCGCAAATGCGGTGCCTTTTCTAAAGGAATTAATCTAAAACATGAAGCTAATATGAGCTTGTCTGAATACACCAAAAGGTTCTAAAGCGATCTAACGCAGTCTGAACAAATTAGAATAAAATTTMTCATTCATTTGGATTAAAAGCAACGTTACATRGCTTATTAGGCTCATGTTCTGGTTCAAATGTTGTCCATTAAAATGTGACCTTACCTGTGTTTCCTCGGTTTGGTTGAACAGGTCTGAGACTGTGTGCCAGTCCCTCCACAAAGCCCAGTTACGTAAGGCAGGCACGCTCCCCTCAATCACTTTACTTCTTCAGACGCTTCCGTTCACCAGAAATCTTCACATCTGTAATCCCGAGCTGAGATTTACTTTTTTTTTTWTTATCCCCACCACCTCTTTCTGTGCTGATGATCTGAAAATCAGCAAAGGCTCCGTTTTAAAAAGCGAAGCGATCAGACAGAGAGACAATTCCAGGTCGCACCTCCTTCCTGTGGCGACAGTTTCCTCCAAACAGGAGGAGAAAAAAAAAAAACGCCGCTGTGCAAACCAAAACGTATTTTATCTTCCCAACAGCTTTTACTCCCTCATATCTGACTCTTTTCCCCTTCTGTTGTCGTTTCAACAGTTGACAAGAGTGAGGCGGTTATTATTGATCTAAGCCCCGCCCTCCTCGAGCCTACGCTGCTCAAGGTTCGTGGTGTGCGCGCGCGCTGGACGCAAAGATGCGCATTCCTTTACGCATTTAATCTGTATGGTGGAGGTGTGTGAGGGGATTAAATACATTTCACTACCCAACAAACCCCATTAGGAGAATAAACACTAGACCATCAATAAGATCCTATTGCTTGCACATTAAAAGCTACTCCGTGCAGTTTAAACATTAAAGATGACCCTGGACTTTATCAAATCATAAAGTTTGAGMGCATTTATTCCAACAGTTTTCCAGATATGGTGTAAATTTCTAAAATGCAGGTCTGCATTCATTGAAAACAAAACCCTCAGTTGAATCTGCAAAAGAAACAACCAAGAAGCTTGCTTCAAGTAGTTGACCTACATCAGGCTTGCTGTGGCCCTGCAATGGACTTGCGGCCCTGTCCAGGGTGTGGGCGCCAGTGACCCTGAAAGGGAAGAGGCAGGTAAAAGATAATGGTTGGCTGCAGTCTGTTGGTAAACATGTATGACGAAACAAGACAGGCATAGAACCTTGAAGATAGTTTCGGCGGAAATATAAAAATCTGCTGCTAAACGTGACAAAAAGAAAAAAAAAAACGCTTGAGTAAATCAATGGTCAAGAATAAAAGAGGATTTTTTTTCCCTAGAACAAATTTATGATTTCATCCTAAGCTTTTTTATTTGTGTACTTTAGTTAACAAATCAATGTAAATATGTACAAATATATGATAACTGTCACTTTATGATCCCAACTGAAATTTTATGTTACAATTGTTGACGGTTTCCTTTGGTAAACAGTTTTTGGTCACAAGTTCTGCTTTTAAGTTATTTATAATAACACATTAACCATTGATATGAGCAAAAATATTGAGCAAATTTTGTTTCCTACTTTATGATTTATTTAATGTTTACTCATCTTCATTACTTTGCAATGAGCAGTGGTGGGCACAGTTCCCCTAAAGCACTAATAGGGAAACTAATTTCCTGATTAGTGCTTTAGGGCTTTTGCYAATTTTACTTTTTTTAGTGGATTAGCACTTGCTAAATGTATAGGTTAAACTTAGAAGCACTAACTGAGGTCTCTAAATGTTAATTATCAAYRTTAATGTTAACAKCTGATGGTGAAAGCTGTCACATTTTCTTCATACGWGTGTCACTTATCCACCAGGTGACAATATATGAAMTAAAATACGGCTGTGGGGTGTCAATGATAAGAATTAGGAGAGCAGCACGGCAAAATGTGACTCATGTTATCTGTTGAATGTTCATGKGTTGACTGGGTTATTTTAGTGCTTTAGAGTTAGCTTTTGCTAAAACGTTCAGTGCRTTAGTGCTTTAGAATWAGGCGACCTAAATATTTGAGTTAGTGTTTTAGGGCTAGTGGAACAAATTTTTAGACTAGTGCTGCCCACCACTGTCAATGAGTAGCATTAATACCCGCCAAACTGACAAATTAGCTAATTAAAAAATCATGCACCTATGGATTTGACAGACAAAAATATATCAATAATGTCTTTTAAAGTGCAACGAGACATGAAAGCCAAAGCACAATTCACTGAGAAATACAATAAGTGATAAATTTTGAGAGAGGACAGCAATTATGGAAGGCATATAAGCAGTGGCATCACTAGGCCTATTTTAGGGGGGCTGGAGCCCCCCTAAAATATTTTAAAGTCCCCCTAAATTATTTTGGTGTAAATTTTTTTATTTAATTTTTTTTTCAAAAATTCTATTTGATGTGGTCAGAATAAATAACCATTTAATATTTCATTATTAACTAAAATATATGATCATAAATCTGTCAGTTTCCCTTTAATTTATA